ACACGACGAGGTGGAGCTAAAGTGAACCAGAGGGAGTTGGATGATCTCTTCAGACCAGCCGGTGCTCTGGGTGGTCCATTGAGGTTTTTGAACAAACAGATTCAAAAGAACAAAGGAAACTTGGTACGTTTGATTCGTAAAATACCCTTACAAACCGCCTTTCCCACCAAGCCTGTCAAAAAACGAAAGAAGATTTTCCGTGCTCCACCTGGTGTGAAAGCGGTAGGTGAGATCAAAGGCATAAAAGACTTTGCCCCTTACTCCCGACTCAGAAAGTGACGATGAATCGATTACGGCGACAACGTCCGTTCTTGAATAGTATTCCCAAAGAAGCCAATCGTTTCAAACGTCAAGAGTTATTGAAACACGCCAACGCTGACCAGATCAATGCTGTCAGTGAAATGGTCTTGAATTTGTTGAAAAAGAGAATTCCCGTCACGCCTCAGACGCTTCGAAAACTTCAACGGCGTAAAACGTGTTGCGCGAAGTGGGGAAGCGCAAAAATTCCCTGAAGAAGAGGCGACAACATCTGCTGACTCAGAAAGGGAGTGGATTCTGGCAAGGCTTGAAAGAGTGTTACGTAGTATGTCGTTAAAGACTCGAGACGCTGAGGGTTACCCCTTGCAGGGTATCGACGTGGTACCTGAACGTGTGTCTGAGAATAGAAAAGAAGTCGAAACAAAACAGACCCTGGCCAATCTCGTTCAATTGTTACAACAAGCCAACGAACGGGAACGAAAATCCAAGGAAGCCCAAGAACGGCGGTTTCGAAAGTATAGGAGCCTCGAACAGGAATATTTGGCTTTAAAATACGGAAACCTGTGTGACGAGTGTATACGTGTCAAAGACGACGTGGAAGACGTCACCATCTCGTGCAAGGCTTGCTCGAACCCAGCCGAGACGATCAAGAGTCTACAACTGAAATTAGAAAAGGTGCAAGAAGAATCCCGTTACTGGCAAGACTGTTTTGAAATCGCTTTGGAGTATGACGGACGAGGTGATGATGGTTCCGGTCAGCGCGTTTGAACGTTTACAAGATTACTACAAAGGACGGATTTCCCAAAGTGCTCTCCTGAACAAAGCAGGGCGACTGAAAGCCGAAAAACAATTGCTCTTGGGTAATCCTAATATCCCCGATGCCACCGCCGTCAAGATGGTCAAACCCTTGGCTCGTGAAAAAACTCGATTGACCAAACGGATTCGTACGGGAGGTGCCCCACGGGCTGGCGTGGGTGCACCCGCTCCCGATGAGGAAGCCCTCGACAGCCCCTCGGAAAACTTGCTGAAACAAGTGATCAAAGGTCAAACCCCCACGGTTGCTACTCCGAGGATCAAAAAAGAGGTCCAAACACCCGCCGTGGCTGGTCCGTCGGGGATCGAAAAAGGAAGTCAAACCTTCCCGAATACCCACACTCTCACCTGAAACACCTACCAAACCTTCCACCGGTAAAAAGCCCGCACCCAAATCAAGTGGTAAGAAGCCTGCACCCATATCGAGTGGCTTCAAAAAAAGTGTTTTGAGTGGAGCTAAAAAAGGTTTCTTAAGAAACATAGGTTTAGACCACAAATCAATTGAAGAAGACACCGACGACGAAGAGGGTGATAACAGTCTCAAGAAAGTCGCCAAGAAAAAGTTACCCAAACGCAAACCGACAGCGGCCGAACGACTTCAAAAAGGTTGGGAAGAGTGGGAAGACCCTAGCAGAAGACGCCTCCGATATGACAAGAACTAGAACCAACAAGACCAGGACTCGAAAAAAGTGGGTTTGACATTCAGAAACTATTGGGCAAGACCGGGATCGAATTTCATTGGCCGGGGTGTCAGTACATGGGACCTGGAACGACACTGAAAAAACTAGCCCGAGGAGATCCTGGTGTATCAATCGCTTGGATAGAGTTTCAAAACAACACGATATCGATTACAGTCGGGCCAACAATATACAAGACAAATGGAAAGCGGATACGAAGATGATCAAAGCCATTGACAAGTTACCCGGTAGAAAGAGCATGACGGAAAGGGTGGTGAAAAGGATCATGCAAGCCAAGAAAAGACTCAAGTTGTAACTTTTTTTAATCACGTTTGTGACAATCTTTCATCATTAAAGATACGGGTGTTCATTTAACTTTTTTGCTTTTTCTTTTTTGCCTCGGTTGACAAATAGGCAACTCTAAAATTGTTAAAGATGCTTTCATCTACGCGATCGTAAAAATAGCTGCGATTGGCAATGGCCACCAAATGTGACATACGATCCTTATCAAAAATAGACACGAACCCTTGACACTCCGGGCAATGTGGACAGGGGCAGGTCTTCACCACGCAACCCCTGGTCACCACTTCCCAATCATGCACAGCGGCCGCCAACAAGTGATCCAAATAATGGTGAAAGGTATCCCCTTTCCCATCCCTCTTCACGCCCAGATCGTGGCGTGAGCGCATCTCCGACACGTTATTGTAGGTGAGACCCAGGGACAGTTGTGTGGCGACATCCTCCCACTCACAGTACAACTCTTTCTTGAGAGAAGCCCAAAAGACTATACCCGTTAAAAAAAGCGATGACTCACGTATCGCAAAGCATTCAACCCAGACACGTTGATGGCCACTCGTAGCCCATGGATCTCCTTTTCCGTCATAGGAATACGCGACACCTCTTGATGTTTCAAGAAACACAAGTCGATCAGATCAATGTCCTTCTCAGAAAAATAATTTTTCTGAATCACGTGATTATGAACGCAAATTTCTCGACGACATTTGAGGCAAACGCCGACCATTAATTCCACCTCGTTCCCTCAGACAAGATTTGTGTACCCCTTCATTACAACATTCCAACAGGAACAGCTTTTCTCAATCCTTCATCTCGGATTGAGAACAGACAACACATCGAATGGCACGATCCACTGGATTAAACGAAGCCATTTTTTTCTGAAAAAACATTATTTTTAATAACATCAATAAAGACCTTTTACAAATGGGACATGTGTCGTTTTTTCCCCTACTGAGACGACGCCCCGTCATAGTCTAATAGCGCATCACACAATCCATCACGCATTGAATAACATAAACCATTGGGTTTGTCGGTCCTATAACAGATAAACGATTTCAGATGTTGACATCGCATCAGAGCCCTGTCAAAATTGAAGGCCAGAAAAGCCTCTCTATGTTCACCTATCAAATTAACATATCTACCATACAATTTCATGTGTTCAAATCCATAATTATTTACACTGTGTTTACATCTCAAAGGTTTACAAACAACAGGTCCCAACCCCCACTCCACTTTCAACTCATGCAACTTTCTAATTTGACGACACAACTTTTCCCTTTTCTGGCTTTCAAGTTCATCCAAATATTCTTTACTTATTTCAAGATCAATGATTTTCGAAACAATATGCCACGGTAACATCTCCCAATAACTTTCCATCTCTTGACTCAATTTCATCTTGGTCTTTACATCCATTTTTTTCTAAGAAAAAATTACAAGATTTTCTTTAATGTCTTCCATAACTTGCATTCAAGAATTACATAACAACACTCGTCGATTACCATAACATCCAATAACTCTTTCATGAAACATAGTTGTTTTAAACACAATTTCATTAGCGTACCATTTCATTCTATTACAAATATAACATTTAAACGGTAGACATTTCACATGACCTAGGTTCCATTTACGTTTTACTTGATGATATAATCTGATATGTTCACACAATTGTTTTCGTTCATCTGTTATCATGTCAAGTCGTTCCTGTCGTTTCTTCCAATCGAGGATATAACATTGAATTTCGAGCAGAAGACGATCCCAATGGCTTAACATTCTTTTCTAAGAAATAATAACAAGATTGTCTTTAATGACATCCATTTTGGACCTAGCTTACAATAAAGAGTGACCTAACACCACTTGTCGATCACGATAACAACCAATAACTCTCATATGAAACACATCTTTTTTATAATCAATGTCATATCTTCCCTTCTTACAAATAAAACATTTATAAGGTTGACATATCACATGACCTATGTTCCAGTTACATTTCACTTCATAGTAAAATCTTATTTGTTCACACGATTGTTTCCGGTCATAGGAAAGCCTCTCAAGTCGTTCAAGACGATTCTTCCAATCAAGGATGTAACATTGAATTTCGGGTCGAAGGCGATCCCATTGGCTGAACAATTTTTCTAAAGTAAATCAAACAACAACTCTTTGTAACACTGAACGATCCAGTTAGCGTCCCTCTTAAGATCATCAACATCTAACATGCTTAATCGTCCACAATTAAAATCAGTGCGTAATTCGTCCGCACCTAGGGGAGCAAGCAGATTGATACTAAGTAAAGCTGTTAAGTTCTCGTACATAAATCCTTCACTGTTCTCTTTCTCACTCTCCTTCCAGAAAACCACCCACGCTTTCATTTTCACAATGTTCCTCTTACACTTCATTAATGTTTCCATGATCTACAAAATATCAGACACGATGGGGCTCAATGCACAGAACGAAAAACAAACGGGACAATAGCTTTTTTCTTCACATAGACCACAACTCATTTGTTTGTCAATGTGATCTCGAAGTGGCACAATTCTTTACAACACTTGGTTCTTCCCCATACATCTAGTTCAAACACTCGTTGACAAAACACGCATGCAGGAAAAAAAGGCATTTCAGCACTGTCCGCAAATTGCATTCTTACTGCATTCATCTTGACTCACCTCAACTTTTGTTCATTCTGAATCTCAACTAAAACCACTCCGACGACTACAATCGCAAAAATCAGTAACAGCAATTCCAAATCCACCTCCAAAGTAATCCTCACCAATGGTAATTTCACTTTAATCTTCATCAGTTGCAATCACCGCAAAGGAGCGCCATTTTTATACACGAAGAATCAAGACACGTGACGTGACTTCACTACAGGGCGGATGGGAATATCCCCCAGTCGTGACGTCATAAAAAAGGCGGGAACCAGCCCTCCATATAAACGCAACATCGACAGTCCCTTCGACTCATGCTTCGATGGTCTAGCGGTTAAGACGTCGCGTTGTGGCCGCGAAGACTCAGATTCGATTCCTGGTCGGGGCAGAAAGAAAAAAACTTTTTCTTCACACGTGTTAAAAAAAGTACTGACTTTTTTCTATTGGTCCGCTCACATGATTAAAACCAAGTAGACTCTGATCATCCCATCAGTCTCATCATGTTTCGCTTCCAGAGAGATGATTTCAACCTCGACGATGAGGAAGACAACGCCCTCTTAGCCAATCATTTGGATGATATAGAACAAGGATTCGATTTCCTCTTAACGCCTCACTTGGATCGACGCGTTCACCATTTACGCGTCAGACACAGAAATTACGTGGGACGATTGATGCAACGTGGTGGTGGTGCACCTCTGTGAACCAATCAGCGACAAATCTTACCGCGTCAAATAGAACAAGCCCTCCAACGCGCCATACGAGAGTAAGTCCTGCAAGATCCAGAAGTCAACCCCAATGATCACTTTCTCATTAACATCAATTCCAACCGATTGAGACACTCCTATCACTCAGCTCGCATGCGCGTCAGAGAATGGACTAACAATGATCTCAGAGCCAGAGAAATCATGCAACAAATTTCTAGAATGTTAAACTCCAACGAACAGTTCCAATTGGATGACACGTTCTCGTTACACATTTCACACATCCGAGATCCTGGGCGAGGAAGCGGAAAACAGCACTTCGAAAAGCTAGCTCAGCTCTCGACATACTACTTGATCTCAAAAAGAGCGTCATCAAAATCAACAACGAGGATAAACTCTGTTGTGCGCGTGCCCTCGTCACCATGCAAGCCTACTGCGACTTAGGAAGCAGACACCCCGAATACGTCAATCTACGGCGAGGTAAACCCGCTCAAGAAAGAAGGGCTAAGGAACTCCATCGCGCTGCGGGGGTCCCCGAAGGACCTTGCGGTCTACCCGAAATCGACACCTTTCAACGTCATCTCACCGACCACCAGATCGTGATACTTTCCCTAGATCACAATTATCAGATCATTTTCAAAGGTCCTATACGTGAAAAACAAATCGTCCTCATCAAAGTGGGTGAACATTATCACGGTCGTAATTCCCTCTCTGCGTACCTAGGAAAATCCAATTTCTGCATCGAGTGTGAGAAAAGCTATCAGACGAACGACATCTCTCATCATCCTTGTAACGGTAAGAAATGTCCCGCTTGTTGTCAAACCCAGTGCGAAGATCATCGTCGCGCTCGTGACACCACTCACACCTGCAATCGTTGTCACCGTTCCTTCTTCGGAGAACAGTGTTTGGAAAATCATTACGCTTACTCCAAGATCGACGGAACCAAAGCGGACGCTACCAAAAAAAATCAAAAAAGTATGCAGTTACCTACGCAAGTGTCCTCACTGCAACAGATTACTCAGACCTCGCGAGATTGAAACGCGTCACGTGTGCGGAACCGCTGAATGTCCCTCCTCCAAGGAGTATCACAATTTCTACCATCACCAATGTTACATACAAAATCCCACCAAGTTAAAACAAAAGAGAAAATTGTTGAAATCCAGAAAACGAAAGGCAGATGGTTCGCACAGTGTGGAAACCAAAGACCATCTCTTTGTGCACTGGGACAGCAAAACCATGCAAGACACGGTTTGCGCCGCCACTTCCAACTGCGAGGAGCTCTTTCATTTTGAAGGCACCACCTGCATTCGAGATTTCTTGGATTGGTTGAGAGCTTTAGCTCAGGATTGCACACTCACTGTCCTGGCCCACAATTCCCAAGGATTCGATTCTTACTTGATTTTGGATTAACTCTACCAACAATATGTGGTGCCCGAGCAAGTGGTCGACGGCACCAAGATCCTGTCTTTATCCATCAACGGAGGAGACATTGTTATCAAAGATTCTCTCTGCTCTTTTCAAATGCCTCTCGCCAATTTTCCCAAAGCATTTGGACTCGTAGAACAAAAGAAAGGCTTCTTCTCCCACTTCTTCAACACACCAGACCGCCAAGACTATACGGGACCTCTACCCGACAAAGAACTCTACGATCCCAAAGGAATGTCCACCGAACGAGCTCAAGAGTTCGAACGATGGTATGCCGAACAACTCGCCAAGCCAGGCTTTGTCTTCGATTTCCAAGCAAAATTCGTAGCCTACTGTGAATCCTATGTGGTTCTACTCAAAAGGTGCCTGTGAAGTGTTCTGCCAAGAATTCGCAGACATCAGCGGCTTCAATCCTCTCCAACGATGTCTCACCATCGCCTCCGCCTGCAATCTCTTCTACCGCACCAAACACAAGCCAGAACGCAACATCGCTTCTACGAGGCCACCAAACTCAAAGAAGACAGTCTTTTCGCTCAAGGCTACAATGTAGTGGTCATGTGGCAATGTGAATGGGAACAACTCAAGAAAGAAGATGACAACCTTCAGAGCCTGGTCAAATCCTTCGACCTCGTCTCCAGACTCAAACCCAGGGACGCGTTCTACGGTGGACGAACCAACGCCATCAACCTTTACCATCAGGTCGAAACCGGAGAAAAAGTCTATTACCTCGATTTCACGTCCCTCTACCCCTGGACCAACAAAAACTGTCCCAACCCCGTGGGTCATCCCGTCATCATTCACCAAACAGAAGGGACCGACATTTCCAGTTACTTCGGTCTGGTCAAATGTAAGATCCTTCCACCGTTTGGGTTGTATCACCCCGTCTTACCCCACCGCAGTGGTGGTAAACTCACCTTTCCACTTTGCAGAACTTGCGTGGAAAACGAACAACCCAAACCGCTGACCGATCGCAGCCATCGTTGCATCCACAACGAGCAGGAGCGATGTCTTGTGGGTACGTGGCCCACACCCGAATTACAAGAAGCCATTCGTCAAGGGTACGTCATCCAACACGTGTACGAAATTTGGCACTTCCGCGCAATTCCAATAACTTGTTTTCTTCCTATGTGAACACTTTTCTCAAGATCAAGCGAGAAGCCAACGGAGGGCCCGATTGGGTGGGTGACGATGTTAACAAACGCACGCAGTACCTCGCCGACTGCCGAGACAAGGAAGGCATTCAACTCGAGGCCGACAAGATCCAAAAAAACCCGGTCGACGTTCTCTCGCCAAAATGATATTAAACAGCTTCTAGGGTAAGTACGGTCAACAAGGCAAGAGTCAAGTCGAAGCCATTTCGTCTCCGGTTAGGCCTCATTCCCTCCTGACTGATGACAGTCGAGAAATTCAGACCCTTCGTGTTATAAACAACGAGATGATCGAATTGGTCTACAAACACGTCGAAGACGAAGAAGCCGTTCAAATGAACATCAACATTTTCGAGGCCTGCTTCACCACCTGCTGGGCCAGACTCAAACTCTACTGAGAAGGACTCAGTCGACTCAAACCCGAACAAGTCCTGTACTTCGACACGGACTCCATCATCTTCTCGCATCGAGAAGGTGAACCCATGCCACCCTTAGGAGATCATCTCGGCGAATTCACCAGCGAATTGAAACCGGGCGATCACATCGTAGAGTTAGCTGCCGCTGGTCCCAAGAATTATGGTTACAGAACCAATGACGGAAAAGTCGAATGTAAGTTACGCGGTTTCACCCTCAACACACGTGGACAAGAACAACTGAACTTTGACCTGCTAAAAGAAAACGCCATCAACGAAATTACGGAACCCGACCAAGAACCGTGGGAAATCAGCGTACACAATCCACACAAGATCAAACGAGATGTCCAAACAAAAACATTAGAAACGGTCGAAGAAACCAAATGATACAAGGTCGTCTTCGACCAACACGTCGTTGATTCCGACACCTTCCTATCGTATCCTAACGGATACACCCGAGCCGAAATCGATGAGATAGACATGGAAAATGTAACCCATTTACTAGACTTGTAAATATAATTTTTGTTAAAAACCACGTGTCTCTTACGTCACTTCCGGTCTCATGACGTCACTTCCTCGCGCCCAGACCGCGCGGCCACCTTTGACCGAGCTCGACCCAGACCTCGCTAAAACGCATTAGTGCAACCGCTGACCTGAACCGAAAATAACGCACGCTGATTGGTCGAGACGCGTCACGTGAACAAAATAACGCACTCTGATTGGCTGGGTCTCAAACTGCCCCCTATACTACTTTCATCATTTAGTTTCTCATCCATTTTTACTAATTGATCAACATAATTGATCAGTGTTTTGTTCTGTTGATCAGCAACCTGTTTGTTCATTGCTGATACGGCTTTATTATGTTTCAAATCGGTTGTTTCTGATTGTTTGTGTAGTATTTTATCATATTTAATTAATTCATCAGCGTGTTTGATTATTTTTTCTGCAATATCTTATCTGTAGAATATATATACCACCTATGGTCTCACCATAATTTTCTAGTGTCGATGAATTCATCAAACAGATCATGTTCGTCGAAAGACAACCCCTTATCATATAGAATTCTCATATATTGTTGGGTTGTATAGCCAGTTAACTTATGACCGTTCAGTAAATAATTATCAATATCCTTGAACTTGCCAAAATTTCGGTGCCTAAATCTTCCACGACTGATATAATCATTTTTTATATTTATTTATTTTTTCTCTAAAACTCATTACTACCAATATATATATGTCGATTTCTCTTTAAGCCTCTTTTGGGGGAATAATTTTATGTATAAATTTTAAAGACTTGTGACTGAGGTATAATGGGGCCATAATATTATTTCATATTGAGCAAATGGCGAGGCAAATTTTGATTTCTAGGGGGAAAAGATAAAAATGTAGATTAAAATAAAAAGCCATGATTTTGAAATGGTGAGCCATTTTTTGATTTCTGGAGTGGTGGGAAGGCTGATTTTTGAAAAAAACATTGAAAAATATATTTTCAAATGATGGGCCATTTTTGTAGCTACTGCGCATGCGCGAGTAGCTACAATGCTATCGCTTTGATGGATAGAGTCGATTTTACGAGGGCTTTCGGAGACCTTCGGATCACGATCGATTTTCTTAGCGCTCGATAATGCCGGTAGTAAATTTGA